GCAGACTGATTGAAAATCAGGACCTTTGGAAGAACTCATGAAACTGCAACTCTAGATGCGTAATTAATAACAGAATTGTGAAAAAGAACAGTTGAGATTTCGCCAACGACAAAATGTAGAACGGCTGCCTATGGACGAATCAAATGGTTTCTCCACTGCTTCCTGAACTGCTGTTTAAGTTCCTTGTCCACATACTCTCCAACAGACATAAAATTCCAATCACGAAATATCTGTAACAAACTTCTTCCGAGTTTTACAAGTTTCAGTACGATTCGTTTCCTTTTTTTGCATATTTAATTTCTTTTAACATGGATTTGCTGCTTACCATTTACTTTCAGTGACTTTCAAATAATAATTGATTTTTAGGCAAGCGCTTCCAGTTCAGCAGTAAAATGTTTCGCAGAACTGAGCAAACTATTATCGATCGCCATCAGACATGAAGAGTACCGTTGTCATTATCTTTCTCAACAAGCGAAGATAATCATGGACTGCTTTGAAGAAGCCCTCAGTCTGCCTGAATCTTGTGCCGAATCGCCCTACCACGTTGCGCTACAGAAATCAGATTTGGCTCAGACTCTGCAGCAGGCGTTCACAGAGTACGTACAATTTCTTAAGCTGAAACTTTTTCCTTTTCATGCCTTTATATCCTGAAGTCAAGAGGCCTTCGCATTCTACGGTTTGCAGCACGAAAAGCTGCTTTTTGTACTACCAACCAAGGAATATGAAAACCTAGTAGATTCTTTATTTATGCAGTGGTGTCGGTATGAACTTTCGATGACTATATACCTTCGTATCCATTGGACTGCCTGATAGAAAGTTGTTTATCCTTAAAAAGTTGTTTAAACAGAACGACCTCAGTCATCTTGAGTATAGCTTAGTCACACTATCGAAATATCACATGCATTGATCCTGCCTGACTGGATAACTCTCTTTTCATCCTATTTCTAATGTCGCTTTGTTGAAATGAAGGAAAATGTTGAATCAATGCTTATCATGTACCTCCTTAACCGTAAGAAATAGATTTACACTATAACAATTAGCAGGTAAGTATATCAGTGACCGACATTTCAAAGATTTTAAACTTCATGCATTTTTCTCTGAAAATTGCATATCTAAGCTTCCATCCGCTGTTTACTACACTTTTTGGTAGAGTGTTCAACTACGGCTTCGTCAGCGTCTACATAAACCGCTGGATAAAGATCAGTTTCTGCCTGCAAGAGAATCTTATGGACACTGTAAGCTGTAAGGTAATTTATGTTGTTTGTATTATATCTACTGTTGTTTCACTCACAATTGTTTAGACACCGAAGATGCAGCGTTTCCTTGACAGCATGAGGTTCTTAATATTCCTTTTGCAAATTTTACCTCCTCACATGCTTTTAAAGGCCTTATCATACGTTTTTCCTGTTGGAAGACCAAGCGGCCATAATTTCTGCTCTTCCGTTGGACACTTCTCCGGCATTGTTGCGCCTAATCGACGTCTACAACCCACTGAAGAGTCTTCAAACATTGGCTTATGACGCGGACGTTGCTTTAAAACAAGTATTGAGTTAACATTTCTGGTCAGTGCTCAATGAATGATACACAAATTCGCACAAATTTCTTGAAAAACTTTAAATTACTACAAAAACATAGCGTTCTTTCATTTTTACAGCTTGCTCGTCTCATGCTGCCAGGGGAGGCAGCCTTCCTTTTTGCCGGTTGTAAATCAGGATAATTAGGGTGGATACCCTACTAAAGTTCTGCAGACTGGATGCCAAAAGGCGACTGTATCGGGTGTTCGGGTGTTCGATATATCTGAGCCATATGGCTATGGATCTGTTGAAGTAGCCTTCCACGTGACTTTGCCGAAAAATTCCTCCTACAGACCTTTCCTTGATTTTTAAAACCGCTTACTATGAAGAGATATTCAAAATTTAAACCCCTGTGCTGTTGCCAGCAGTAGTAAACAGTGAGAAAATTTTAGGTGTTTCGTCTCGTGCAGCATTTGGTCTGTTGGGGTAAGGCGATGGTGACTTATCCACTCTGTGAAACCAATGTTTACTGTGTAGCGCCGTCAGTGGAGATCAGGTACGTTCAGAACCTTCTTCGAAAATAAGCAGTTTTTTGTATCTTTTGATTGCTTTTCCCTTCTAGTCCAGCAATCGCAACGGAATTTGCAAAGATTTTTCCCGGTCATCATTTACTGAGTGTGTTGAGCGAATTTTCTCAACCCACTTCATTGATGGAGTTTATCCAAGCAATGTCCATTGAACAGAGCATTGATCAAGCGAACTTTATCAAGATGGTCATGTACTTGCTCAAGCACTGCCTGATCATCCACTTACAGACATACGTTTTTCTGTACATTGAACCTGGCGTTGCCACCGTCTGCTCAAATTCTGACGACCCCTATCAAGTTCTGGCCGGTCACCCAGAAGAGAGCTTTATCATAAGCTCCTTAGTAAAACATCTGCGGAACCAGGAAGAAATTTGTACTGTTCTGCAACACCCGGCATCTGCATCGTTGGACAATTTAAAGTCTTTCGCAAAATTATTGCCATACTTTGATGGACGCTATCATCTTGAGGAGATTATGTACTTCGAGAACATGCGACGATGCGAATTGCTGAGGATAATCTCCAGTTACCAGAGTATTTTGTACACTTGCAGTCATGAGGACGACTTGTCCACGTTGTTCATGCCAAAAGCATGTTTGACAAGTGACGGTTTCGCTGAATAAACTTGTGTCTTCATTTTGTTTGCATTCCTATCTTGCGCTTGCAATTCTTTATCAAAAGTTCTGTTTTAGTCTGTAATAATTGACTTATTGCTGTCAGACCGTCTATGATGGACGACACACTGCAAGAAAGAGTTCAGATAATCGAAGATTTCATCAATGAACGACTTAAGGCCGATCTCAGGTATATCGCATTCTTCCGCCTTGGATTATGTTCGAAGAAGCCTTCTGTTTTCTAGAAAGTTGTGTGACAATCGAGACGAACTTTACGACGAAATCGCCGAATATCTGCAGCTCAAAAACATTCTTCTCAAATTCCAGGTACTCTGCTGCCAGATGTGTTATTCACTGCTTTGGTGCCTTAAATTTCTTTAATATACTCTAGTCCGCGCAAAGACCGTTTTCTTTCAGTCTGTCAGATCTGAATTTCCAGCAGATAGTAAGACAACAGTAAGCAGTAGGTCAGAGAAGCACCAGTTCATAAAAACATCACCATATCAATGAGTTATATCAGTTCCTACCAGCAGATGAATTTCGTAAGCCCGTTTTAAAATAAACAACCCATTATTTGTCAATGAATATTCCTGGATGAAATTTCGTTTTAAGCCAAAATGATTTCAAAGTGGTTTAAAATTTAACCTCTGTCATTTAGGAATCTTTTCCCATTTTTACACGTATCATTACTAAGAATACGTTTGCTAAATCTGTACGCAAAAGAAGAAAATACGATATATGTGGCGTCCTTCACATTTCCATTATGTGCATCATTTGCGGTGCCTACCTCCAATTTAATACCGTTAAACAGGGATGTCTTATTATTTATGATGACAGCACATTTATTGGGTGAAGTGGAGATTTATGTATCTACCGCTAGAAGATGAAAGGCTGGTGACTCTGGTGAGATCTTTCGACTAATGTTATTCTATTGACCAAGTAAGCTTAGCGCATCCTAAACAACGAATGAAGCTTCATTTACCAGAAATAAACTCCGGTATTACATGTCTGCTAGCAAACTGCGTGTTTTCAGTACCGTGGTAAAAATATCATTCTTCTGTCACTTCTTCGGATTTACACGGCGTAACACACAGTCCTCCTTCTAGTAGCTACGCCGTGTAGATCCAGAGAAATGACAAGAGAAAGCTTTATCTGCATTAAAAATAATAGCCATACCGTACTAAAGCAGCGAAAATGCATAGTGTAACGAAAGAAAAGCCATTTCTCACTTTACACCAGCAGCACTATTGCACCGCCCCCACTCTATTCTGTATCTAAGGCTTTATTTTATTATTTGGTTTAGAACTTTAGAACTAGTTGTTAAGCTTTTCAGTTTGCCAGCATCATTTAAAGTGATTCTTCATATTTTTCTTTGATACCAATTCTAAGATTATTACTTTAGGAAGCAGCTTTCACTTCTGACCTGAAGACTCAAATCGATCTTGGATGTGATGTTTACGTTCGCGCTCGCGTGTACGTTGAACCCTTGCCGCGTTTTGTTTTTATTTGCCAGCTTCTTTAGCTCAGATCCTTCGAAAGTGTTTGTAAAGGTAGGATATGACATTTTTGCTGAATTCACCATCCCTGAGGCGCTGAATTTCATCGAAAAGAAAGTGGAAGCATTAAACAGGCGAATCGAAGCCTATACGAAGGACTGCTGCAACCTCAAAGCACGGATTAAGCTTCTGCTACAGGTAAACATTGATCTGATGAAGCTGCAACTTTAAAAAAAGCGATAAATGTCGTCTAATATTCCCTCCAAAGGTAGTCTGCTATTGACATAGCCATAATTGACAACGTGTCATAGTATGTGTAACTAATATTTTGTTGTTTCAGCCTACCACTCCTTTTGGAACGGTCCATCAGACTTGGCTGTTCTTCTTCAAATGCTGTAGTTATATCGGAAAATCGCCTGACATACAAGCACTACAAGCGCAGAAACAGCTTTTCTTCCGTTTCTGTTTTTCTGTGCTTCCTCGTTTCGTAGTAGCGCGGCTGTGTTGTCATTCTAACTTTGTATACATCTCTGTCCACTGTTTAGTGTTATTGTTAATCTTTGTAGCAATTTACATGATTTTGTCATGAAAAAGCTAAAAGATAACTCGGAAATGATACTCTTGGTAATCCTAAAAAACACTGTAGACCAGTTCTCAAGTAGGATAGTTTTCCATGGGAATTTAACATGTGCGATGTGAATAACGTTTTTTAAAATCGATTACTGTGACCAGAGTAGTGCTGATCAGCCAAAGAACAACGGCAACTAGGTCTTTTCCTTTGATATTATAAGTTATAACACATCTAGCTCCCTTTCATGTTATGTTCTCCTGGCCTTTACATTTCTCTCAGTCGTCTTAGTCATAAACGCTTATGACAGATAGAAGTTTATCAACGCTTACATGCATAAAGGCGTTCAGTTTAAAGTCTGCAATGACTGTCAATATTTAACATGCTTTAATCTGTCTTATACTAGTGCAATGATGCGTGCGTGCATTATACAACGGGAAAGGATGAAGGTCTGCATGCACTTTAGCCGCTGAGGTAGATGTGAGAGCTTTTCTTTAATCCCGGAACAGTTTTCAGTGCTCCCGTAGAATGCAAGGACTGGCTTCTTACGACGTTAAAGTAAAGCTTTCTAAGCGAAGGGCGTAATGAACGAAACCTCAGACGGAATGACTGCGGACTAACATCTGGTTTAGTTTTAAAAATGCGATGAATGTATGACGCATGCGTCAGGTTCTGTACCCTCTGCATAAATCAACATTTCTTTAATCGAATGACAGTTTGAACTTTAAACTGATTTATTTTTGATTTTCAGGGACTTGGCGCAGTTCAAGGTTTCACGGTTTCTAATGAGCGTCTTCCTCATCGAAACATTCTGTAAACGCCCATGAAAATACTATTTAGTGTTTCACATAAATAAATTTGATACTTTCTGTTCTGCCTTCTGGTGCTAGTGTTTATAATAATTCAAATACATTTATATAATTACATCGTGCTCTCATATTTGAAGTTTGTGATTTACTAGCTTTAGCTCCATGGCTGAGCTGTTGTTAGACCCGGCCATCAGAACATGGGTGTTTCTCCCAATCGTGCTGATCACGTTCCTTATCGGTATGGTCCGACATTATGTGGCAATGCTATTCGCCACCAAGAAGGAAGTAGAACTGCAACAAGTGCAAGACAGGTAAATTATCAGTAGTGAATCACCTTTCCTTCAGCAACTTCTCTCGATCAATTTACTCATGTTTATGACACAGTTTCTGATTTGCCATCTCGTAATAGCCTGCTGGAGTCTTTATCTAGTGTTCAACTTTAGACTTTTAACTGTATAGTGTAGTGTAGTATAGTGTAGCGTAGTAACTGTATAGTATATGTGTAGTTTCAGGAAGGTTTTTCTACACATTTAATGATCAGGTTTACTTCGAAAAGATTTATTTGCTAAAATTTACATTAACGAAAGCGATAAATTTCGTGCGGTTTTAGCGCAAGAAAAAAGAAAGTTGGTCATAACTGGAATGTCGGCTTTCCTTCACTTTCAGGATTAGACCAATTTAGGTGATCTTCTTTCATAAAGTCAGTGGTTGGGCGCTGATCTCTATTTCCATATCATCCACCATGAGTATCATTTTTTATAGGTAGAGTCTACAGCCACTTGCCAAGCGTAACGAGTAGTCTCCTGTATCTTTTCCACAGAGTGGTACTCATTTATCAATATCGGAACGAAGAAGGGTGAGTGATCCTTGATCTTGGGGAGCATTTAAATTTGGGACCTATCGGTTTTGAGTTCCAAGCCCTAATGACTGAGCAACCCCGGTGTGAATAATATATGATAAATTATTTGCCCAGTGAAATTCGTGAATAAGATAAAGACTGTTCTCTAGCGGAATCGAACCAGACACCTCAGCTGTTCAAAACAGACCTCTTAGAGAATTGCGTCGACACGCCACATTTAGTACAAAAGTGACCTATGGTGACTTTGATGATAAACAGAATGAGTTTTCTCAGAAACATCAGTCTTCAGATCAAACCTTTCAGCTTATTTTGTTCCTGTTTCGTATCTGATGCTGTTCTCCTATGCACTTCAACAAAACTAATGTACGAAGCATCGTAGCGTGTCCGATGCCCTTTTAGACATGTCAGAGAAGTTCTGCGGCGCGATCAAGAGTTCCGTCAAGTCCGTATCGCACGGTACAATGATCCGTTGTAAAGTGCTTAATGCTTAATGTTAAGGTCATGGTCATGGGTATATCTAACACTGCATATATCCCTGTTCATTCTAACTTTGACGGTTGACGAACCAATGCTGTCCAGAACAGCTGTAAGCAGATCTACACCTTGTGAGAAACTTTTTCTAACGGTAAAATTATGATTTCACACTGACGAAATAATTCAATACTGCTGAATATCACGATGACGAAAGTTCTATACTTTTGTAATTTTATTTGCCCTGCTCTGTAATGAAATAAACATATATCGTTAGTATTTGTCTCATCTTAGTCACGTCCTCATACGAAGTCGACTTTTGCGTGAAAATGGAAAGTTCATTCCGAAACACTCGTTCAACATGCGCAAACAGTACTTCAACGACGAAGACTCAGGCTATTTCAAGACAGCACAACAACGTCAGACGGTTATGCTGAACATGATGACAGGTATATCTTATATTGATTTAATTAGATACTTCATAAGAATATTGAATAATATTCTTTTCCGAAACGAGAGTAAGAAAATGCCGTACCACATACAGACAATCAATTAAAAAAAGTGCCAGTACTGAAATTTGAAAAGGGAGGTTATGTGGGCATCACATTCTGTCAGGGAAAGGTATGGCAAACAAAACTGGCGTAGTTACGTTGAAAATGTATTCTTAACGCTCTGGCCAAGAAATGTTTAACGCCGGTCAATATGGATAATATTTACTTTAAGACAAGTAACTATGTTTTATGGGTATATCTAACAGGCAAACCATTTCAAAAACTATTCTGTTCCTCTCGGGGTTTCACCCTACAGATTGGCTGCCATCTCTCACTTCCGAAAGTTGTAAATAAAATAACAATAGAAATCACTGCGTGACTTGGGCTTAATGGTTGTATTATTCATTAGGGTGTTCACCGTTAATAAATACTTCCTAAGAGTCCAATTTCATCTTCAGCATGGGCGGATCTTTATACGAGTGATTATTAATAAGTAATAGCGATATTGTGAAGGCCAGCGACGACTGAAGTAGGAATCTAATGAAAAAACGAATCACAACGGCGGAATCAGCTGTACTCTTCACGGTTGAGGTAAGCACCTCGAAAACCTGCTTGAGTCGAAATGTATTATATGTTTTGAATCTCGACTGGGCAACACTCCTTTCATTTTTTAGGGGAAAATGAATACCACTGTGTGGGAATGAGAGAGGCTTGAACGCTGTAGTAGTCATCTACATTTAGATTTTATCTTAAAAAATAGCGCTGTCATGACTTATTGCATGAAAGTGGATTTTAACGCTGCTTCCATAAGGAAAATGCCACGGAGACCAGTGTATAAATCGTCAAAATCTTCTGTTGTCCTGCTGTTCTGCTCTGTCGCTAAACACCAACGCAGAATAATGCAACAGTCGACTAAGCGCAGAACTTTTTATGGCTCTTCTTACAGCTTAAAAAGATCTGTATCAGAAAGGTACACTGCTCACAAAATCGGCAAGAATACGTACATAAGTTTAAGGAAGAAATTTATAACCGCTATTTAATTATGAACTACCTAGATTTGAGATCTAATTACAGCTGCCAAAGAAACAGGTATCATCTCGACCGCTGTTCTGAAGAAATCTTTTACTTGAAGCTAAAAGGTAAAACACCTTTCTCATCTGCTTGTTACTCAGACGCGGAAAGTTTCAGTAGGAAGGAGTCACTCATCTCCCTTATCCCAAATACTTTAAACCGCATATCGAGTACTTAGTCGTAACGCTGGCTGCAGCACCTAATTACGGAAGATTTATTTTTGCAGTAGAAATTAGTCTGCGGTAGCTCAGTACTTATTTTGTGTTTGTTTCTGCTCATGCCTTTGGTCATGAGTGCTTAACGCTGACCGAACGAGAGCAAAGATTGATATGACTGGTTCAAATGAC